AAAAAAAACAGAAGGAGTTTATGCAGGGATGTGTTAGTATATATGTACTGTACAGCATATTTGGGATATGGAAATAATTGGATTATCAGCTTATAATTTAAGCTTTTGCCAATTTTACACAGAGCTCTCCAAATCTTGCCTTTCTCGAAATTTTTTGCTTTTATAAAGGCAAAAGAAAACTGTCAATATAATGGGTCTTTTTGGTGTTGTTGCTATAATATCTGCATGTTTTTTTCATTAATTTCTTTATAAATATTCCTTAGAAGCGATTTCTTCGTTTTTTTTTCTGCCTTATTTTTTTTACCTTTTTTTTTTTTTCGGTAGGAACGTGTTAGGTGTTAATAAATTTTTTTTTTTGTAAAAAGTACTGTTGTTTAAAGGTTGTAAAACATCTGCAAAAAAAAAATTATTTTTTTTTTTACATATTTAAAAATCATAAAAAAGTCAGTATTTATGTGGCAATATAATTTATTGTGGTATTTAATAAAAAAAAAAAAGTTGATTTTGCTTTTTACATTGTTCCTCGTTGTCGTCGTCTTCTTCTTCAGCAGTATTAATTGTCACTTTTTTTATAAGAAGAAAAAAAAATTGATAATAGCTAAGAAAACTAATGAACTGATAAAGGGTAATAGAACGGAGGAACCCAAACCGGGTATAGACATTATTTTAATTGTAGAGCAAATGGGCAAAAATTCTTATTTTTTCTTTTTTTTTTTTGTTGTTTTTGATTTTCTACAGAACTGAAAATAATTCTCATTAACCTGTAAATAATGATCAATCAATGTTTTTGTTGGTCGATTGGTATTGCCAAAGTTAGTTGTAGCTACCACCCGATCATCGTCTATCTACGCACATACACACATACACCATAAACAAACTTACACACCAACTGGAGTGTATTCCCCGTGAACGTCAACAGTTTAGTTTGATTTTTCAGATGGGCTGGCTACGCAAGAATCTTCTTCTTGTGAGCACAGTTGCTTCTGTTATTATTGGTGCAATCCTGGGCTTTAGCCTACGCAGTCTTCATCTGGATGTACAGACGATTACGCTGTTAAGTTTTCCTGGAGAAATTCTGATGAATATGCTGAAAATGATGATATTACCACTTATAGTCAGCTCATTGATATCAGGTACAATAATGTTAATTAATTTTTTTTTTTTGGTTTTTTTGTTTTGCTTGCTTCAACTTGAAAAATTTGACTCTTTATGTTAAAATTTTTATCAGAATTTGCTTTACCGTTTTTTTTTTGTTGTTATTGCTATCCATACTTCTCTTGTATCCTCTTTTCTGACGCATCTACTGAATCGCAGTTTTAGATGCGCAGATGTGAACCTTTATTTTAACCAAAACTTATCAATTAATTGAATGAAAAATACATCATTCAAAAGTTTTAATCAGTTTTAAGCAAAAGGAAAAGAAAATAGCTTTGAGAAATTATTCTTGTTTGTGTAAAATGTTAAATTTTTTAGGTTTGGCACAACTGGACGCAAAACAGTCTGGTAAAATGGGAACTATTGCTTTGGCTTACTATTTTGCCACTACATTTATTGCTGTTGTTGTAAGCAACTAATCTATTGATAATTTAAATAAAAAAATTATCATATAAAATGACCAGAAAAAACTACTTTTTAACTTTTTAATTTGATTTGCAATTTCTTTTTTTTTTAAATAATATCGCTCAGTGTAAGCGTTTTTATTCCGGAAAAAAAGACGGGCATTTTCAGACCGGAATTTTCCTGGTTTTTTTCATTCAGCCAGGAGATCCACGTATCAAGCAGGATCTTGGTGAAGGAGCAGAAAGTAGGACTGTCAGTACCTTAGACACGTTTATGGATTTGATTAGGTATATTAATTTTGTTCAATTTTGCTACGAAAAAAGCTGACATAGTTTTTTTTTTGCTGAATTCTAAAGAATTATTGACAAAACTTTATAAATCTGTCTTCTTCTCATATTTGTTCTAAAATCTGAGATCTTTTGGTTAAAAGAATTAACTCTATGTGTACTGTTTTGTCTGCCAAAAAAAAACATTCTGAAAAATTAAAAAAAATTTTTAGCATCTATTTATGTTTGATCTGTTAAATCATTGATGGTTACTTCAAAAACTGGCAAATGGTTATTAGCAGTTGTTGTACTGAAGCTGCAGTAGTTGCTCTTTGATTAGGAGCTGTGACGGATTTGTCTAAACTTATAGGGGACTTCAAAGTTAACAAATAACAACAACAGTACTTAATGAATTATCAATTCTCAGTTAATCCTTAGCCGAATCAGTGATGCCATAGAAGTTTAACTATTCCAGCAAAAACTTTTATAAATAAAGATTTTTCTTTTACTGCCAAAATTGTGCTAATCGCCACAAAAGACAACTTTATTGACGCTTTGATCTATGTATTTGTCTGTTTATTCTCAGCTTCTAAAATGGAACTTCCTTGAAATTGATCTCTTTTTTTCAATGTCTATGTTTTTAAAAAAATTTGGTATTAAGAAACTGTTAAAAGAGAAAATAGCTTCGGAAAATATGATCGAAAAAAAACTTTTTTTTTTTTTAGATTTATATTAATTTCGATGTCAAAAAACAACACAGTTTTATTTTTTTGTGCTTTTTTAAGATATAAATGAAGAAATTGTTATTACTATATGTAAATATACACATAAGTATAGATGTAAGAAGATAAATAGACAAATAAACAAATGTAAATATGTATAAAAATGCATGCACAACAGTGGTCACAATTTTTGTGCTGATGCCTCAACTGGAGCTAATACTAAGAGAAACAAGCTGTAACTTCTCTGTTGTTAGAAAAAAAACGTTGAAATTTCATACTGAAAACTGCAGTTTAGAAAATTATCAATTTTTTGCAGTTATTACTTCTGATCAATTTTATATCATAATTCTAAAAAGATCATACATACAAAAATTTTTGGTACACGAGAGCTGCAACAGTTTAAGAAAATTTATTCGCACGTAC